GGATCCGGGTATAACCACTTCAATCCAGAGCCATTTATAAACCGCCTATAGACAGGAAGTGGTTAAAGAGACTTTAGATACACCCCTTGAGGGTTAGGGATTGATGTGAATGTACATATATATGTAAAGCACTGCGTAAATTGACGGCGCTATAGAAGTATCTATAATACTCTCTGTAGGGGTACCTCAAGGTTCTGTCCTTGGACCCCTTCTCTTCTCCATCTACACCTCCTCGCTTGGTCACTTGATAAACTCCCATGGCTTCAATTACCATCTCTATACTGATGACACACAAATCTGTCTTTCCACCCCTCACCTCACCCCTTCAGTCTCCTCTCACATTACTAACCTACTAAGTGACATATCGGCATGGATGTCACTCCACTTCCTCAAACTCAATCTTTCAAAAACTGAGCTCTTGGTATTCCCCCCAGCCCGTGCCCCCTCCCCTGACTTCTCCATCATGATCAATAACACAATCATCAGTCCCTCCCCTCATGCCAGGGTACTAGGTGTAATCCTAGACTCCCATCTGTCCTTTCAGCCCCAAATCCAATCACTGACAAAATCTTGTAGACTTCACCTCCGCAACATCTCCAAGATACACACGTTCCTAACCACGGAAACCACTAAGCAACTTATTCACTCCCTTGTTATATCACGCCTTGACTATTGTAACTCCCTCCTCATTGGCCTACCTCATCGCAGGCTATCCCCTCTTCAGTCTATCATGAATGCTGCTGCCGGACTGCCACCTTACTAACTGTTCTGTATCTGCCACCCCTCTCTGCCAATCCCTCCGCTGGCTTCCAGTTGCCCAACGGATAAAATTCAAAACACTAACACTGACCTATAAAGCCGTTCATAACTCTGCCCCATGTTACATCACCAATCTTGTCTCTAAATATTACCCAAACCGTACTCTATGCTCCTTGCAAGACCTCCTACTCTCTAGCTCCCTTGTCTCCTCCTCCCATGCTCGTCTCCAGGACTTCTCCAGGGCTTCCCCCATCCTCTGGAACTCCCTACCCCAATCTTATCAGACTATCGCCTACTCTGCTCACTTTTAGGCAATCACTGAAAACCTATCTCTTCAGGGAAGCCTCCCCTGCCCTCAGCTAATACTGGAATCCTCTACTCTTCCAACCACTCCATCCCCCACAGTTATTACCTTTTGTACCACTCGCCCCTCCCTCCTAGATTGTAAGCTCCAAGGAGCAGGGCCCTCAAATCCCTCTTGTATTGAACTGTATTGTTACTGTAGTGTCTCCCACTATAATGTAAAGCGCTGCGCAAACTGTCGGCGCTATATAAATCCTGTATAATAAGAGACAGAATACTCCAATCAGCCATAACATTATGACCACTGACAGGTAAAATGAATAACATTCTCTTTTTACAAGGGCATCTGAAAGTAGGTGGGATATATTAGGCAGCAAGTGAACATGTTGCAGTCCCTGGAGTTGATGTGTGATGTGTTTTCTGTCTTTCTGCACCTGGTCTTTTCCATTTCATTGTTAAGTCTTTTCACTCTGACCTTGCCATCAGTTATATGCACTTTCCTTTTCTGTGTATAGTACATACTGTAACAAGGCTGCCCCCTAGTGGTAACTGGTCAAATACCACAGGGAGCATTAGGAGCTTTGATGTCATTCGTAATTGCATCCTGCTAATTAAAGCTAGAATTGTTTCCATTCGAGCTCTCATGGAAACACTGCCTGTCTATTCCACATTGTGTTATTAATAACTTGGGAAAACTGCAGAAAGTTTTAGCATTATTTTGAGCTCCTATTCCTGGTAAGGTGGAATAGATATTGTGTAGGATAATGCACAGCTTAACATAAATATTACATCATAAATGTACCACTTAATATAAGACTGCACTGGCAAAGAGCAATGCATTTGAGTTATAATCTCGGCCCTTGGAGGGGGATAAGGCATGCTGGGAATACTCTGAGATTCCATTAACATACAAGAATTGTTCATCATATTGCTAATGGTTCTCGATGAAACACCCCCATCTACTTATGTTGTAATTAGCTGGAGAGAATAATAGAATATGCCAGTGCCAGAGCTAGCTAGGCCCCATAGCCTGTAGTAAGGCCCCTGTCTTTTTAATTTGAATCCAATGATTATGCATATCGGCCCTATTCTGTTCCTGTACTCTTCTCTTGTGAGTTTGGATATCTAGAGCAAGTTCTTAGTTTTTGTATTTTTTTTTTTTTAAAGAATTTTTTTTTAAATCTGTGAACCAGTTGATTCTAGTCACCAAACGCAACTTTTTATAATTTGCCTAAACAGGTAATTTGAAGGTAATGGTAGATTTTTAAGGTTTAACAGTTTTATATGTAGGGTTCTCTGTAGCTGATCATACATAGTTTCTTGTAGATAAAAAAAAAAAAATCTTATGAGAATTTTACCTGGAAGACGAATTGTATTCCTCCCTATACCCATCCCACAAGAGTTAAATGCTTCCTATGACTAGGGGAAGATGGAGATGAAGAGGCTGCATTGCTTACCTTAACCACAACTCTCCTCTCCATCTGGTGCTCTACTCAAGCCTTTCTCAACTAGGATACTCGGGCTCCTTGGGGTGCCTTCAGGCATTTTCAGGGGTGCCTTGGCAAAATGTTTAAAAACTGCCCAAAAATTGTATACAAGCCAGCAGGTGGATCAAGCCTGCCTTTTAGTTACACAAAGCCACAGGTTTTCACTGTGCACTTTTACAACCTGCCAGCATCCTAACAACCAATGACCTCATTAGTTAAGGAGGCTGTCGGGTGCCTGCACAGCATCCTTGTTTGCCCCTCTCCATCAGCACTGGGGTCACATTAGCTGAGTTAAGGAGAGGAACATTGAAATACTAGTCAGTACCAGTGTGCAAAAGTGTATTTGCTTTGCAAAAATAAATCACCTTTAGCACTGGGTGTCCTACACATGTGGATGTTGCTGTGATATGTATAACTATTAGAATAATATTTTTACATTTTTAAAGGGTGCCTTGAGATTGTGCAGAATGTTAATGGGTGCCTTGACTGAAAAAGGGTTTAGAAATACTGCTCTGGTCCATGGCAGTCCCTTGCCATCATCCAGTACAATGCAGTGCAAGTACCCATCTGTTGCGCATGGAGGATGCAGGAGTGTGATGTGGCTAGTAGTGCCTTAGAGAGGTGGCAGTGTTGGAACTGTCGCACAGATTAATGGAGCCTGCCAATGCAGGGAATAAGGCAATTATTACATCTTACTCTGGCACCCCTATACATGACAATCCGCTAACCCTTTGCATTGCCGTGGGGAACCACTGCAGGAATATATATATTTTATCATTCTCCTGGTTGCTATGTAACAGCTTGCTGAATGGACAGTGAAGTAACCACTTGCTCTGCTGCTCCTCCTCTATGCATGTTTGCAATCAGCTCACCTTGGTGCTGACCCTCCTCTCCCAGCCTCAATGTACACGTCTTGAGATTCTTCTTAAAAATGCTAGTTGCCTGGCAATCCACTAGCTTCCAGTGGTTCTAAAGCCTAAACCTTTTTTACCGTAATGCATTCCTTGCATTACTGTAAAAAAAAAAAATGTTTATGTTAAAGTATGCCCCCCCCCCCCCCCCACCCAATTGCCTACCTTAGTCTTTACTCCATCTAACACTGTGCCCCTCTGCACCAGTTCTCCACTGTTATCCTGGCTCTCGCAAGCTTTGCTGAAAGCAGCAGGGGCCCTTGGTTCGCTCTGCTGTCCAGCAGATCCTGTGATGGGGTCTGGCCCGAGCCATGCTCTCTGTCAGTGGACCCAAGAAGAGGAGGATCAAGGCCACTCTGTGCAATTCCAGTGCACATAGCACGCAAGTATAAATCTGTGTTTGTTAAAAAAAAAAAAAAATTAAGGCTTGAAATTGACCCCAGACAAGCATGCAGATCATGAGCATGTATACATCCATGTCAGTGGCTCAAAATACTGTAATTGGACACAGCTTGATTGCCAAGCAGTAATGGCACATTGAGGATCTGAGGAGAGACCGATATCTCACCACCTGTCATATCTGATGAGACATCTGCCTGTGTATGGCAACTGTAAATATTGCATAGCTATCTAGCAATCTATTCTACCTGATCTGTTCTACCCTATCTATCTAGTAGAGAACTGTGTAAAGAGCTTTGTTCTGTGTGAGTAGTGGCATTAGTAGGTCAATGTTATTAAAAATTGTAACCGATATAATTACACTATGCTAAAATCATTCCACAGGAATCTGAAATGTTTGAAATCAGGCTTAACTCATCCTAAAATATTCCGACACAAGACGGACAGATGTATTTTTCCTAAAGTGGAATATTTCCTTCCATGTTCCTCATCCAGCTATGTGGAATGTGGCTGTGTACTGTGAAGGGAGGACAGCAGGACTCTGGTTCTGTCTGTTTTCTGCCTTCTTGCGGTGTCAATGCTGCACCTAGATGGGTACAGTATGCTGGTGTTAATGTAAATCTCATCTGCTGATTGACACCTGATGTCCTGTGCAATGACCATAACAAGTGATCACCAGTGATAATGAGCTGAATGAAAAATCGCTGTTGTGATCATCTGATGGTGTATGCCGTCCCCACGTAAATCATTCCTGCTATAAACAAATCTACGGTGGGAGCTTTCCAGATCTGATTATCATTTATTGTATGACAATCTACTACATGCCTGCCCAAATTTATAGCGTTTCTAAAGGGCACAAACATGTATGCTTACTAATAGTCACTTAATTATTTTAAATACTATTGACCCAGCAAGCCAAAAAACACCTTTTGAATTCATTTCGCACTTTAATTTTAAAAAAACGAAATTCTTAATACCATTGAAATATAAAATATTGTGTCCTGCATGCTAAAAGATCCTAAATAAATGGCTCACATGCCAACTTTTATTTGGCTGCCATTGTGCTGTGCTGGGCTCCTGGTGTGCCCCTGCCCCTTGAAGGAGGATTGAGCTACCTGCCCTCGATTGATTCATTGCTATGTTTCAAGCAGGGGCGGACTGACCATTTGAAAACTCGGGCAGTGCCCGAGGGCCTGGGGTCAGTAGGGGGCCCCATGAGATTCCCCTGGTACCTTTTTCATAGGCTTTTTTGAGTTTGGGTAAGGACACAGGGGCCCCATGGTCCCCTATTGCCCGGGGGGGCCCCATGAGTTGTCACTCCGCCCCTGGTTCCAAGATGAAGGCTTCCCTAGATTAGTTTTAGGGACCACAGTATACAGGTGCGTCTTGACGAGGCAGTGCCTCTTCTGCATGTATTTGCAAATGTATGCAACCAAACACCCCCCCCCCCCCCCCCTTCTTTTTTTTTTTTTTTTTTTTTTTATTTTATTTTAAGGTAGTACAGCCAAAGCGGATTAATTGCATTTTTTAAAGTCCTCCATGCTGCATTTTTGGCACGTTTGGTGTGGTAAAAAACCTACACCAAAAACACACCTCTATTGCGATGAATGAAAAACGTGGGCAAGAACACACCTGCACATAGAGTTTTTGGTGTGTTCTCTAAGTCAGATGTCCTTTTTTTTTCACAGGTGCAGACTGATGTCAGGCAACCAGAAACATGGCAAAACGCATATTCTTTTTTACTGCATTTTTGTAATGGAGCTGTGTAAAACCAACCTTAGGGTGTTCATTTTTGTTTTTTCTAGCTAAGCGCTAGGGAAATTTTATTTTGGTCTGTTGCGCTACTTTCCCATTGATCTGTAGGGAAAAGTGTTAACAAAAAAAAAAAAAAAAAAAAAAAAAACATTTTGCCCAATTTTTTTGCATTTTACACAGGACATGTGACTCAAATGCATCAAAAACGGGTGAGTTTTTGATGCATTTTTTTGCTGTGTTTTCCATGTATTTCAGTGGCGAGGCGTGTTATTGGGTTTTTTTTTTTTTACTGCACCAAACCACCAAAAATGCAGCCAGCAGGGTTTTGTTAAATGCAGCGGATCAGTGTGAAGAGTTCCATAGGGCTACATGGTCACACATTTTTCTTCCGTTTTTTTTTTGTTTTTCTTTACGCAAAAGCGGTAGGAAAGCGGATCAGTGTGAAAGCAGCCTTAAAAGTCCTTTCATGTGCACCTTGCTTTAAAATGATAGTTATACATTGATTGGAGTGGTTTGCTGTGTTTTTTGTTTTTTTAGATGACATGCTCATTGTCTCAACATAAGAACTGGACATGGGAGAAGTTTATCACGTACTGCTATGTTGTTTTATTGTACTTTTACATGTGCTTCACTCAGTAAGTCTCAAGAGGGCAGCAGTCTGTTATGTAATAGAGGACAAATGTATATATTGCAGCTGAAAAAGCAAAGTGATGGGAGGTGCCTGAATAGCAGAATCTGTCAGATATGGGTTATTTATGACCTTCGAAAGTCCCTCAATGACACTTCAGGCACCTGCCTGGTAAAATATCCAATACATATACATACAGGTAAATACTGTGTATCTCCTACTCTAGCAGCTATCGGTTGTCAGAATCACTCGTTTTCTCAGGTTCAGAGAATTTGTATCCAGCAAGGAGAATGTGATGCATAGGTACCGTACATCCCTTATTCTACCAAGAGATTGTACGTTGTTCTACCAAGAGGTTATACATTTGTCCAGTAAGGGCGATGGCTTCCATAAAGGGAAACACTGCAGGCTGTCCACCCGCACAGATTATCTTTAAACTTTGAAAGCACGTGCTCATTTTCAAAAGTATTTCAATTTGTGATTTGTTTTTTTCTTTTTTTAGTTGATAAAGGCAAGCAGAAGACAAGCCCTCGTAGTCCCAGTACACAGGCACAGGCTGCCCCAGTGGACTTGCAAGCTCTCGAGTTATCCCAGTGTAAAGCGGTATGTGAACAGCAGAAGGGATTCATACAGCAACTGAAAAGTCTCCTCACCTGCAGCAACAAAAAGTTTGAGGCCCTGACGGTGGTCATCCAACATGTGATAAACGAGGTACATTCTATTCTGTTTCCACACTATAAATCTATTCAATGCTTTGTTTATACATCTTTATGCTTAAGCTTGGCAACCTAAAGATATGAAAGAATGGGAATTGTGGTCAATAGGTGTAAAGAAGACAGTATAGTGTATCTAAAGCCTACACTACTTCTTTTTTTTTTCTTTTTTTTTATGTTGGGGTTTATTCTAGTCTGTGTCCCTAGTGAGAAGATTTGCCCCTCTTTTGAGTCTCACAAAGAATTGGACATCATTCCCGCTGGCATACTTAGTGACATTAAACCTTTTGGGGTTTTTTTTTTTTTTTAATTTAAATAATAAACATGTTATACTTACCTGCCACAAAGCAGCCCCAATCCTCCCCTTCTGGGGTCCCTGCCAGCATTCCTGGCTCCTCCTCTTCAGCGAGTGCCCCTGTGGCAAGTCGCTTGCTATGGGGGCACTCATGCATGCTTGCACCCGAGCTGCACTGTCTGTAATTATTTCCACAAATTCGGCAGCTCAGCCCTGCCCCTGCTCCCTGCTCTCTCATCACAGAATTTGATTGACAGCAGCGGGAACCATTGGATCCTACTGCTCTGTCTGCCCAGTGAGGAGGGACAGCGGCACAAGCTGCTGTTCTCATGCATATAGCTGGATCGGGCTCAGATAAGCATAAGGGGGGTTGGAGGATCTTGCAGCACAGCATAGAATGCATTAAGGTAAAAAGCCTTATGGCTGAACTTCACCCAAAAGGGTAAGTTCTGCTGTTCCTCCTCCCCACCTCCTCCATCACATTTTGACCAAAAATTTTTTTCGGGGGGAGTGGGTACCTGGTTTTGACAGGTACCCGCTTGCCCACTTATAGCCGGATCAGGGCTGTGAAGTTTGGCCACTGCTCCTTCCCCCATCTGTCATAGGTCCCAAAAAAGCTGGTGGACCAATCAGCACAGCGCGGCTCACGCAAGCATTCACAGCTGGATGCCCACAGTTAGTATGCGGGGGACCGAAGCCAGGTGAAAAAAGCAGCTGAGTGAGGATTGTGGGACAGGTGAAAGCCTGTTTATTAAAACTAAGCAGCTAGTTTTTGTAGCTGCTGACTTTTAATTTTTCCACAGATGACTAAAATACCACTTTAAGGCTTTAAAACCACTTTAAGTCCTGGTTCACATATATGCGGCCGTGCGGGCTGTGTTTTGTGCAGGCACGAGAGCCCATTCATTTGAATGGACTCCCGTGTCCCGTGACACGCAGGGAAGAAGTCCCTGCACTACTTTGGAAACCGCAGCCTGCACAGGAACCTCGGTTCCCAGTGTGGTTGTGATTTCCAGTGCGGGCGGCGTGCCATTAGAATTAATGGCACTCGCCCGTGGGTCTGCTTTCTTCTGTGTGGGTGGTTTGGCTGCACGGATTTTTGTGCGGATCTGCAGCGGCACCACCCTCACATACAGTTGCAAGAAAAAGTATGTGAACCCCTTGGGATTACATGGAGTTTTGCATGAATTGGGCATAAAATGTGTTCTGAACGTCATATAAGTCACAACAATAGAAGAACACAGTCTGCTGAACATAATACTACACAAACAGATGTTGCCATGGTTTAATTGCACATAACATGTAAACATTCACAGTGCAGGGAGGAAAAAGTATGTGAGCCCCTAGCTTAATGACTTCTCCCAGAGCTAATTGGAGCCAGGAGTGAGCCAACCTTGACTCCAATCAGTGTGATGATATTGGATATGTTGCCGACAGCTGTCCTGCCCTTAAAAAACACACACCTGTTTTGGGTTTACTGGTTTCAAGAAGCACTGTCTGATGTGAACCATGCCTCACAGAAAAGAGCTCTCAGAAGACCTACCATCAAGAATTGTTGACTTGCATGAAGCTGGAAAGGGTTACAAAAGTATCTCCAAAAGCCTTGATGTTCATGTGTCCATGGTAAGACAGACTGTCTACAAATGGAGAAAGTTTAGCACTGTTGCTACTCTCCCTAGGCGTGGTCATCCTGTAAAAATGACTGCAAGAGCACAGCGCAGAATGCTGCGTGAGGTAAAGAAGAATCCCAGAGTGTCAGCTAAAGACCTACAGAAATCTCTGGCACATGCTAACATTTTTGTTGACACATCTACAATAAGGAAAACATTCAACAAGAATGGAGTACATGGGAGGACACCACGGAGGAAGCCATTGCTGTCCAAAAAGAATATTGCAGCACGTTTGAAGTTTGCAAAAGAGCACCTGGATGTTCCACAGCACTACTGGCAAAATATACTGTGGACAGATGAAACCAAGATTGAGTTGTTTGGGAAGAACACACAACACTATGTGTGGAGAAAAAAAGGCACAGCACACCAACATCAAAACCTCATCCCCACTGTAAAACATGGCAGAGGGAGCATCATGGTTTGGGGCTGCTTTGCTGCCTCAGGGCCTGGACGGATTGTTGTCATTGATGGGAAAATGAATTCCAGAGTTTATCAAGACATTTTGCAGGAAAACGTACGACCATCTGTCCGCCAACTGAAGCTCCGCAGAGGATGGGTGATGCAACAGGACAATGACCCAAAGCATACAAGTAATTCAACAAAACAATGGCTGCAACAGCACAGAATACGCCTTCTGTAGTGGCCCAGTCAGTCCTGACCTCAACCCGATTAAAATGCTGTGGCATGACCTTAAGAGAGCAATTCACACCAGACATCCCAAGAATATTGCTACTGAAACAGTTTTGTGAAGAGGAGTGCTCCAAAATTACTCCAGATCGTTGTGCAGGTCTGATCTGCAACTATAGGAAATGTTTGAGGTTATTGCTGCCAAAGGAGGGTCAACCAGTTAAGTCCAAAGGTTCACATTCTTTTTCCTCCCTGCACTGTGAATGTTTACATGTTATGTGCAATTAAACCATGGCAACATCTAATGTTTGTGTAGTATTATCTTCAGCAGACTGCGTTCTTCTATTGTTGTGACTTAGATGACGTTCACAGCACATTTTATGCCCAATTCATGCAAAACTCCAGGTAATACCAAGGGGTTCACATACTTTTTCTTGCAATTGTATGTGAACCTAGCCCAAGCATAAAACTGTGCAAGGATTGTTTTCTCGAATGAGAAGGCTGAGGTATTCGTGCCACCTCTAATGTCAAATGGGACACAGCGGTTGCATGGACACAGCCACTGCTCCCAGTTTGACAGCTGTGCAGGTTTGTGTCCCCAAATGCAGACAATGTGCATCTGGGGACATGCACCCACACACATATATAATTGGTAGCAGCAGCTCTGTCCTTGTGGCTACTGTGTCCAATTTGACAGCTGTTGGATTGACAGCATGGTGTTGCATGGAACAACCTGGTCTTTTCATAGGTGAAGGATTAAGTAAGCCTATGTGGACAAGACGTAAAAGTGAGGCAAAAGTCTAATTCTGTTACAGTGACAACATAACATTTTTGAGTGAAAGCTCTAATAAGGACTGGTTCTGGTGACAAAAAGGTTTGCCTACTTTGGAAAGATTTCTTCTCACTTTCTGTTGTCAGGACAGGAGGTAAAGTAAAATCTCCCCAGTGGGACACAAATTATTTCCCTTTTAGATTGTAAGCTCTAATGAGCAGGACCTTCTGATTTCTCCTGTAGTGGATTATATTGTAACCAGGGGCGGACTGACCCTTTGGAAACCCGGGCAGTGCCTGAGGGCCGGGGTAAGTAGGGGGCCCCATGAGATGCCCCTGGTACCTTTTTCATAGGCTTTTTTGAGTTTGGTCAAGGACACGGGCCCCATGATCCCATATTGCCCTGGGGCCCCATGAGTTGTCAGTCCGCCCCTGATTGTAACTGTAATATTTGCCTCATATTGTAAAGCACTGTGCAAACTGTTGGCACAATTTAGGGGTTTTAACCTTTCCCCATGCCAATCAAAGCTTAAAAAGCTGTTTTGGTTTTAGGTATCGTAGGTGGTATTTTTATCTTTTGCAGTCTTGGAGTCACTATTCCTCCTTTGCTCACAGTGCCACTGCCAGCCACCTTTTACTGGATTCCTAGGACAGGCATCGGGAAAATGTTTCAGTACTGGACTGTCACTTTGATTCTGTAGAGGGTCTGGTTATCGTTCGATTTTAGTTTTCATGCATGTAGTAATAGAACACACCTTTCCAAATGTCTTTGTGCTACAGAAAAGGATTTGAGTTGCTTATTTATGTATCATGGCCTTTAAATTCATGTTGCAGAGTTTGATTATACTGTTGAGTGTCTGTACTGGCAGTTTAAAATGTCCTAAAGAGCATTTTTGTGGGTCAGTAGCGTGTTAGTCCTGGTTTGTCAGATGCCCTTGTAGATTAGTGAATTTGGAAAGCTTCCCACAAACTTGGAAAGTGTAGATGTTGCCACAACAAACCGATGTGTGAAATCCTTTGAGAATGGGTGGAGGTGGATCAGAGGAAATAGGAAAGCTGAACACTGAAGATATGAAGAAGAGAATGATAAAAGATCTGTGCAGTATTAACTTTAAAAATAGCTCTTTTCAAGTGTGTGTGTTAGTGGAGAGTAGGACTTCATGTATCATTAACCCATTACCTTGTTACAAATGAGCGAGAAGCACAATGGCTCAGTGGTTAGTACTTCTGCCCTGCAACACTGAGATCCCTGATTTAAATCCCAGCAAAGATACTGTCTGCATGTAATTTGCATGCCTTTCCTCCGACACATCAAAAACGTGCAGAAAAGGTAATCTGCTCCTGTGTATATTGGCCCTAGTGTGTGTATGCATGCAAGATCGGAACCTTAGATTGTAAGCTCTTTGAGGGCAGGGATTGATGTGAATATGTAAAGTACTGTGTAAATTTAAAACATGCCTGCATGCTCAGGATTAGTCATTTAATTTTTAATTCTTTGTGCTTCACTTAATGTGATTGTAAATGCTTTGTCTTGTGTGCTTCTTTAGTTTTGTTTTTTGTTTTTTTAATAACATACAGGTTTATACTTGCCTGCTCTGTGCAATAGAATCTCCTCTTCTTGGGTCCTCCGCCGGTGCTCCTGGCTTCTCCCCTCTGCCGAATGCCCCATAGAAAGCCGCTTCTTGTTGGGGCACGTATGTGGGCTGTCCTAAGCCTTGTTGTCTGCATATATTGACACAGGCAGTGGGACTCTGCCCCGCCCCCACTCCCTCATCATTGGCTTTGATTGCCTCCACAAAGCCAGAAAGACCACGAAGTGAGGGGAAAGAGATGCTGATGGGCACAAGGCTGCATTGAATGAGGGCTCAAGTAAGTAGAAGGGGGGGGGGGGGGAAACTGATGCCAAATCAATTTTTACTTTAACCGCTCCCTGACTGCCCTATAGCAGAAATACTGCTACAGGGTGGCATGGGTGCGCAAAATCATGTGTGTTTATGTACGTGATTTTGCATTTTCGGGTAGGGGCGGGTGCGCACCCTACCCACGCCGTCATTTGCAGCCGTTGCTGTCAATCACTGGGTCCCGGCCGGTGATTACTGAGCATCTCTGATGGGGAGGAGAACTGTTTGTAAACAAAACCGTTCTCCTCCCTGTCAGTTCATGTACACTGCTTTGGATGGCTGTGCACAGCCATCCAAAGCAGTGTGCTTACAGTGAAGCACACACACAAGTAAAACAGCACACAGTTAACCCTTTTGATCACCCCTCATGTTAACCCCTTCATGCCCAGTGCCATTAGAGTACAGTCAGTGCTTTTTTTTTTTAATTACTTATCGCTGTATTGGTGTCACTGGGGATGTCAATGACGCCAAGTCAGTTCCCCTCAGTGTTAGACTGCCCGCCACAGACCCAATATAAATCGCTGATCGCCATCATTACAAGTAAAAAATTTAAAAAAAATCCCAGTATATATACCGCCATTTGTACATGCTATAACTTTCACATAAACCAATTAATGTACACGTATAGGGATATTTTTTTTTTTCAGCAAAGACGTAGCACAGGCAATCAAATACCACCAAAAGAAATCTTGGTTCGTGGGAAAAAAAAAAGTCAACTTGGGTGCAGCGTTGCATGACCGCGCGAATGGTTAAAGTAAACGCAGCAACGTAACACAAAAAATGGCCTGGTCAAGAAGGGGGGTAAATCCTCAGGAGGGCAAGTGGTTAATGCAAGGAATGCTTTATGGTAAAAAATGTTTAGGAATTATAAACACTTTAAATATTTTTCACTTTTTCTAAGACACACACATGCATATAGTTTGAAGCCTGATGGGATCACCTTGCCAAATCCTCACAGTAGAATAGGAAAGCTTCCTGCACCCCACTTATGGCCTGCTGTACTTAATCTGTAAGTAAAATTTATCCTCCGTCATTTATTAGTCCATACATGTATCGAAATTTGGCCGGTTCAGCAGGGCTTCTATGGTTTAACAGTGTTCATCTGCCCTGTTGGAAAAAAAGCCACTCAATCAGCGCTGCAGGCTACTGACAGCAGCACTGATAGATGTATTCTGATGGCGGGAAGTCTTTGTGCTGTCAGAATAGAACGACGCAGCGGGGAGGATTATACGCCAAAAAATGGTGCACCGCCCCTTTGAGTTTGCTCAATCACAGAATACACGTAAAACCCTTTGGTTGAACACAAAAACTGACTCCTCTATGGCAATCATAAGCCTCCCAGCCCTTATGTTGGACAAAACCGCTTTTATTTAGTTGTTTGCTACAAGATACTGTTGTATGGGGCATTATCTATATACATTAGCATAATGCCAGCCCTGCCTTTAGAGGTCCACACTGCCAGGCAGACAGATCATTCTGCTCGCAATTCGTTTGTGCTGTATGCAGGGTATAGTCCACAGATTGGTGAATGAAATATTCTCTATAATACATGGAATGTCATGTCTAATAATCCAGTGACTCAGGATTAGTTGGGGCAGCACAACAAGGAATGTACCTCAGGCTTAAAGAATGATAGAATAGCCTTGTGAGTCTGGCAGAAGTACTGAAATTAGAATCTTTACAAGCACACCTTGTTATAGTGGTAGTCTGGTTCTTAAAGTGTTACTAAACCCAGGAGCCTGCGTTCACTCAATCTGCTCTCCCACAGTACACAGAACATGGAAATGCAAGTATTTTAGTACATATAAACGGCTAAATACCTTTTCTCATCAGCAGTTAGAGCTGTCTGGTGACTTCTATCAGTGTCCAGTCGAGCACTAGTTAAAGCTTGTAGGAAGAGTTTTCATTTTGCTCTAGAACAAGGCTTGTACCTGTCTCTTGCAATGCCTCATGGGACTTGTAGCTTGGCAACAGCTGGAGGGCTGTCTGTTTGACACCCGTACTCTAGGAGGATGCAGAACCCCTGACCTCTGTTGGGACTGTGCTAATTGGCCCTGTCCTAATCACATACAAATCTACCCCCCCCCCCCCCCCCCTGCCAAAAAAAAAAAAAAAAACATCTCTAGCAATGCACACAAACTGAGCATGTGCAGAGTGACTCCATACGACATGTCTCATCAGGAGATAAGAGGGGGACACTGGAAAAAGGGCGGGATCAGAGAAGTCAGGATCAAATGGTGTCTTTACACAATGCAGAGGATTAACCCTTTTAGGTTCCACAATAAGTATAACCAGCATGTTTTACTACATATACAGACTGATTTTACTGTTGTGGGTTTAGTAACACTTTAATGCACATAAAGCAACAGGCAACATAAACCAAAGTTTTGGGACTTCACGGGATTATTTTCTCAAAGCAGAGCAAGGTCCCAAAATGTCTGCTTGTGATGCTTGTTGCTTTATGTGAAAAGGACAAGACTATCCTGGTGTGTACTGGTGAAGATTTTCATTTTCGGATGATTGTATGGAGGTGTCATCTACCAGTTCACTTTAGCACCTGCATGAACTGTGGGCAAGCCTGAAAGCTGTGTGACAGATACAATACAACGTCTCTTGGCGGCAGTACTTATTTCTGCTCCAGGCCAGTGTATTATTGCAGCTAGTTTACTGTTAGGAGATTCTTTCCATGAACAGAAGTAAAGGTTTGAATAGATTTTCAGTATAGCATTCATAGATCTAATTTTAGATTTCTGGGATGTAAAACAAGAAAGGCGCAATGATCTATGGAGAAAACTGATGCAACCGTCACAAGCCAGCCAAGTGTCTTTTTATAGCACGCTTCGTACTGTGTACATACTACTGTACATTGGATGCCGACTGCTCCGTAGTGTACTCTCTCTAATGGGCTCAGCCTTCAGTGCCACACAAAACTGATATTGCAATTTATTTGTTTTGTGGTTAAAAAAAGATGTAATGCGTGCTGGCTTGTTATATCTGATAAAGGATGCATTGGTTCTCATGTGCTCCAAGGAGCTCTCGTAGAATAGTAATAATCTGCAGTCTACAATAGATGAAGACAGCCAGACAATTCAACCATCTGGTGCCCTCACAAAGCTGCAATGTTGGTTTCTGTTTGAGTTGACCTTTCTAAGTTAAAATAATTCATGATTAGTTCACAAGCAGTTTTGGCCTTGTAGTTGGGTTTGAATTCATTTTTTTTTTAATAGAATGGGGAGGAGTAATCTATTTCTCAATACAACTCCATTAAAATGTTCTTTCACTTCCTATGCATGTAACAGCACAAGAAATAAGGGTGTGGCTATCACTGGGACAGAATGAAACGGGCATCAAAAAAAAATTAACAAAAGCTCCTGTCTTCACCTTTTTTGCTAAAAATGTGCCATTTTTTGTTTCCCTGTTGGGGAGATTCCCATGATTTCCTGCCTCAAAAGTACATAAAGAAATATCTCTTCTATGGAGACAAACAGCAGTATAAACCTGAACAGTGGCTTCAAACCTTTCTTGC